CTAGTTCTTCGACTCTACACAAGTTTAAGTGTTTATCTTCACAGTGGAATTTACCCTCGATGATTTATACATACAACTTTTCTAAAATAAGGCTAAGTTTCCATCGTAGTTAAACTTTTCCAAGCCGGTATTAGGAAAAATTAACACAACACATACCAATAGTGTATCGTAATTGATAGATGCTTGAGAGACTTATCAAAGTAAAGCTTTGCACAAAAATGAGGCAGTTAAAGCTGTCAAATTTGGAAGCCTACATAAGAAATTTACAAAAAAGAGTGTGAAGAAACGAATGTGAACAAAATGTACAGAAGAGAAGATAATTAAATGAAGAATCGTGGTGAGTTTCAAGATTTGAATAGTGATAACAAGTGGAGAATGAGTTCTAGCCATTTAACAGAAAGTATATACAATAGGTTCTTAGTATCTTGAGAACCTCAGACAGATAGTCATCACTTGCCAACGCGACCTAGATTGACAGTCAGAAACGTCACGATCTCGTCACCACCCGAAACTCTTTTCAAACCTAGTCGTACTTCAGCTGATAGTGTTCATCAAAGAAGGCGGGGAGTCGACACATGTCATACATTTCCTAGTCGTTTCAATCCATGAATTTACTCTCCTTGCTAACACTACGGCTAACTTCATTAATACTGAACAAATCACTATACTTAACATGAGGGATCGAATGGAGATATTTACAACCAGAGAGGCTGATCTGTTTATGTCTCCCACCTTCGACAGCGATATCTCAAAGGCGTTAAGTAAAATGAGTCGATCTGATGCACAGTCTTTTGGTGAATAGCCGAATATCATGCCAGCACTAAAAATGAAGCAAGTTGTCAAATATCCAACGAACATTTTCTCTCTGTAGTAGGATTTCGTCAGGAATTAGCTAATTATGGTTGATGCAACTTCCTAAATAAGTAAAGTGCTCATTACATTCAAGCACTTTACTGTTTATGCTTAACTAGTAGTCAGTACGGATCAATCCTGTAGGGTAATTCTACATCTGGTATGAGACATGCGTATACTAAACATACTGAGATTTTCGCCCATTGGCTTAAAAGGACTTCATTTCGTTAGATTCTTCACCATAAAAGGATAATAACATCTGCATACTCCTAGCAACAGGTCAATCTCTAAAGCATCGAGGTTGGTTAGTGTGACACCCACTAGTTCACCTGTAATGAAACCTACATGTGAAGAGAACCCGAACATCTCAGTTCAAGAGAATTAATCAACGGGGAAATTCAAATAACAATTTCAACAAATAGTATTCTATGCCATTTATTAGCACGACTAGCAATTGGCGACTGGGAAATTAAACCATTCTACAGACATTATTACATACTATACAGTATAAGAGTTATCCATGATTCCAAATGGAGAACAAAAGTCTGATAATACCAATTAATCGAATAACTATTGTAAAAGCTTTGCTTGTCAGAGCATTTAGGATCAGTGAGAAAGGAAAAAAGGACCAGAAGAAACATATTATCTATTAATACAAGAAATCTCAATTTTAACATTTACCGACAACAAGATTATAACAAATATAACCCAGTGAATATTGGACGAATATTAAATAAAAATAATAATAATGATAATAATAGTATTAATAACAATAATAATAATAGCGATAGTTACAGTGGTAGCAATAAAAATAATACATGCATTCAGCGCAATTTATTGAAATCAACCTGAAAAAGCTTTTAAACTTAAACAAATACTGCTGCACAACAGTTGGTAGATGCGCATTTCTAAGAAAGAATGTAAATGCATTGGAGAAAATCCATTAGGCATGACTACAGATTCACATTATTAACAATCCAAACCATGATTGGATAAAGGAAAGGTACCGTGTAAAGTGAACTACGCCTTCAATCATACACAAAAAAGCATAAAACATATTTTTTTAGCTATGCAAATTACCGCAGCATAATGAAGACGAGGAAAATCGTACGGGAGGAAAAAAGTGAACAAAAACGGCAAGATTAGGTGCAAAAGTGACTAAAAAATGAATTAAAACGTGCAGCATTAGAGAAAATGTAAATCCAGATTGAATATTGATGAACACGAACGGCTTAAGGAAGAATAATATTTTTTAAGAATAGGACTTATTCCCTAGGGAATCAACTTGCAGACGGAAAGGAAATTGTGTAATGTAGTGCATAATGAACAACTGACCCAAGAATTCTACACCGGTACACAGCAACTTGAACCCATAATTTACTAATCTAATAGTGATCAGTTAATCAACAAGAACTCATCAATATCAATAATATCAAAGAAATGATAATTAATCGAGAAAAAATTACGGCAGCAGTTAAAGAGTACGAAAATCGGGAAAGGAAACTCTTTGTATAACTTTTCATCAACGCTACAAACTTAAACAGTAATTTTTCAATATGTCAAATGCCAACAAAAACCAAGGGTTAGTATCAAACGGTAACAAAACATATTGGACAGCATATCACAAAAGAGAAAAAAGGGTTAATTATGAATAATTAATTTTTCCAATGGTCTTACTTAGTCAAAAAACATGTTCAAACACTAAGTGATGGTATCCCAATCAAAAATCATTACTTGTATGTAAACGAATGGAAAGAAGCATATTATTCACAAGAGAAAATAAGACTGTAAACAAAGCCAAGACATTAAAAGGGATTGGACAGAACGCTTCCGGACAGAAATGTCGTGGTTTGCCTTCTGAATAGTAAGAACTATGATATACGAAAACAATATTGAAACAGTGTCGCGAATTCTTTCACATCTTTCTAGTATATAGGTATGGTTTTAAAGCTAAGAAAAAGGCTGCACGACGTTTCTTTGGCATACGCAAGCGAACCCTTACTTTTAACAACACTTTCTTTCTGCCTCCTGATATTGCTCATGAAGCTTTTCAGTATCATCTCCAAATGACTTTACAAATCCGTCTTTTGTATGCAGCTGAACAAACTGTTTTATTATGACACAACTGACAACGGGGAGAATACATTTTATTTAACAAAAAGGCATAAGAGTTCATCGTATGCGCAAAACATTCAACAATTAAATCAGTTGGCGATTTCTCCAATCAGAATGATAATGAGTTTGTAGAAACATTCACTGACAAAGTTAAGAATTATTCGACGTAGAGGAAATACATATGCCATACTATGCAGTTGTCATGTTGTATCTATGATTTAAACACTTTCTCACAAAAAGCCTATTACTATTATTCCCTTGGGTTCCGAGTCCAACACAGGACTTCAACAACACATCTCCACTTTGTTCTATTCTCTGTGGTCCTCTTCAACTCGCCTCACTACTTCCTATAACCTCTCATCTTCTCCCCACACGATCTCCTCCATGTCACCCTCGCCCTGACGACCCACTCGTCGCTTCTCATTGGAATCCCATTCGAGCTGTGGCACGGTGCGCGATGTCATTCGATGGTCTACTCAACGTATGTCCAATCCATCTCCATTTTCTTCTACATATTTGTCGAGCAGTTAACTCTTCGTTGGTTTGTTGTCAGTTTCTTCATCCTAATTCTTTCTGGCCAGCCATTTGATCTTCAATACAAAGCCAGAGGAGACAGCTGTTGATAAAAGTCAGCCATAGCCTGTTGGAAGTCCTTTTCGTGACATGAAGAGTTTCTGACCCACATAAAAGAAATGACTTTACATCAGTGTGTAAAATTCGAATCTTGTTCTTGGAGTGCAGAAGATTTCCAAACTGATTTCAGTTTGATAAAGGTGTATCTTGCCTTTCGGATTCTGACTGGCTGGCTGGCTTTCACACCTTCATTCGTTCCCCTGGCTGTGGTTGAAATAATGCTTCCTAAATAAGAGAAGGAAGGAAGCGACATCTTTCAAATTTCTCCTGTTGATAGTGACCGGTGCTTTTTATTATTGGTTGGCTGGTTATCTTCATCACCTCCGTTTTCTCTATATTCACCTGCAGTCCTGTCTTCGCTGTCTGCCTCTGCTGCCAGGTTGTTGGTTTTCGCCTGCAATTCTTCGATTCTGTGTGATATTAAACATAAATCAACAACGTGCGAAATCCAGATCTTCTACAGTCTTCTTATCGGTGGTCCAGCGTATTCCTATCTTTTCACTCTCACGCACAGTCTGACGCATAAAATTTAGTCCACTACAATTAGGAATATCATCGGTGATAACACGAAGCCTTGTTTTACTTATGTATTTACTTCGAAGGCTTCACTGAGTTTTCCGCTGTGAGTCACTTGACACACAGCATTGTCATACAGCTGTTGGATATGGTTGAGAAATATTTGAGCAATGCGCGCCGTAGTGTTGAAGTAGTTTCCAAATTACTTCTCGGTCGACGCTGTCGAAAGCCTTTCGAAGTTGATGAAGTTAAGGTAGAGATTTGACTGACATTCGATATTTTGTTCTGTTATGCTGGTGCGTAGAGTCGTAATTAGATGAGCACATGATATACCTTTCCTGAATCCAACTTTTCATGGGTGGAGTTCTACATCCAGTGGCCTAACTATTCACTTATTCATTCGTAGATAAGAATGAAAATACATGCATAAGATTACGAGTATCTAGACATTATGGTTATATATAAAGTTGAAAGTCAAATTATGACGACCGCACAGCATCCTTCCACTATTCTTTCACCAGAAAACTGTAATCCTGAAGAAGAGAGTTGTAACTCGATTTCAACAATCTTCCAGAGAGATTTTCAGTTATTTAAATATTTGCTTCCATTATTTCTTTACTAGCTAAAGTTCGTAAAAAACAATCGTGAATGCAGTCATTATGTTGAGGAGAAGAAAACACAGAACTTCACAACTTTTCAGAGAGTACAAGAAGTCACTGTACCTTGCAGTAGTCACAGATTTAAGGAGAGTTAAAAAATTTTCAGGCTTTGTTGAAGAATAAAAAAATATTACCAACATGCTCTTGAAGTTTTTGTTAACAGGACAAAGCATAAAGTATCATGGTGATAGCAAAATATTCATTTCAACAACTATTAAAACTTACTTCTCCTTTATCTACAGGTAGAGGATAGATTGTGTCTTGTGGAACATTAGTAGGACACAAAGATACATTTGATGCATTTGAATCGAATTCAATTAGGCAAACTGGAGGCATAGTGACACTGCCAATCTCTCGTTTGAGTAATTGTTTACTCTTGGGTTGAGAATTACTCGGTGAGGTTAGTTGAGGTGATTCATTTCGACTTGAGACAGGTAAATCAATAAATGGTTTCTTCTTAATCAAATGGGGAGGTCTAGCACGCAGCTGAAATTAACAAAAGAGGAGAGATGGAAAAGATGTTAGTAGTTTGACGGAAAAAATCGAAACGATATAGGAATATTTATGTGGTTAAGCAATAATCACGTTGATAATAATAATAATAACAATAATGATAATAATACGATTCAATTATCTGCTATTGGGTTGTGAGGACGAAACAGGTGTCCAATACTCCCTGGTTTTCAATGGTTCTCCAACTGTCATCGATCCTTGATCAAACTTGAAACAGTAATATGATATATATAATAACATATAGGAAAGCCTTATGACCTTTAGTTTCAGTTGTCAAGCCAATAAACCATATAGAGCACAAAAGTGAAATAGTTGAACGGAAGCATATGTAGACAGCTGAAATGCATGTTGTACATTGCTAGGAATCCGGAAAACATACAGAAAAAGAGATATCTTAAGCACAATGCAATAAATTATAATCATAACATCGAATTCTAGAAAGGATCTGTTCTTCAAGATACAACAACAGAAGTTCATAGAATAGGACTATAATGCGTAGTGGGGACAAATATTTACAAGTAGTTTTATGAGTCAGATTACTCTGTACCTCATGTGTCTTTACTGATACTCCACCATGTATCAAAACTGATGTCTTTCGAGCTAATTTGGATAGCTCGTTGATAAACTGATTTATCTGCTGGCAGGATATACACAATACAAATTTCACAGTCTTCTGACATCGGCTGGTGGTGCCAGAATTTCGTCATAGAAATCAATGCATATGCGACTGGGATCTTGTTTCCATCATTTTTGTATACTAGAGAGACTTGAGGCATTTGATTGACCTTCCTGACTATGTGTGTCATTTGACCAACTTTCAAATACAAGTGGAACATACCGTTTCTCTCCTACCTGCTCGCTCCGAAGAATGGCAATGAAAGTGTTTGGAAATTAGTTGGCAGGCACAACCTACCACGTACTACCCAATGAGTCAAAGAATAGGTAGAAATGGTTGCTAGTGTAGACAAAAAACACCCCTAAATCAATGCAGTCTTCCTTAATAGTGCATGATGGCGACAATTCAGTTTGAAAAGTATCAAAAATCTTCTAAGAAAATGTGTCCTTCATCAAACAATGAAAAAGTTTTAAAAAGTCAAAATGTTGAAACAAGACAAGAAAAACGGGTAGAAACAAACAAATAGAGGAAAAATTGGGGGAATTTTTGACCACCCAAAACAGATGTCGTATACGTGCAGTAACTACCACGCCAAAACTACAAGCACAACACATCTCAAATGCATAATATACATGAACATATGTTACAATGTTTATTCACAATACAAAAAGAGGAAGAAGAAGAAGAAGAATAGACATATGCAGTATTCATTTTTATTTTATTTTTTCTTAACAAAACGCACAGTAGACAAAAAGTTCATCTAGTCGAAAGATAAATACATTGTTGACTTATTCAGTGTTTCATTTTATACTTTTGATAAATAGTGTCATATGCAATATTTTACGTCAATCAACAATCACATGGGTGTTACGGGACTTAGTAACGCCACACACTCACTACATGATGAATGATAATATTAACTGATAATACAAATTTCGGATACCTTAAGTGTGGTCAGAACCCAAACTCTACTGGTTTAAAATTGAGTGCTACACAACATTATCGTCATCTTCAAGTACTGGTTTGTAAGGATTTGACTGACTGGTTACAGGATTTCATCATGAGCTGATATCAATCGGAGAACCATTGGAAAACCTGCAGGGAGTACTGGACAGCTGTTTCTCTCTAGTTTAGGACTCTTTAAAGTACGCACCCACCGGGGTTCGAACCCAGGACCTTCTGGTTACCAGGTAGGGCGTGAGGACAAATACTCGCCGAAGACATACATTGCAAGTGGTCGCGCTATGTTGTGAATTGGCAGAATTTCAAATCCACGGGATACTGGATCGGGTCCCAGTGGCTTAATGGTCCACGAGGTGGCCTTGTAACCTGAAGGTCCTGGGTTCGAACCCCGGTGAGTGCGTACTGGTGAACAGCCCCAAACCAGGACGACACCGCCGTCCAGTACTCCCAGGTTTTCCAGTGGTTCTCGAACTGATGTACAACCAATTATCACCATCTGTACATCAGCCAAAATATCTTAACAATCCTAATTAGCAACCACACGGTAGTTTCAACAATGGCTGTACAATAAAACACACTTATCGCCTGAGAGTTGGCCATTCAAACCTCAACGTGGTCTGAAAACTTAAGTGGTATTAATAGAGTTAGGCAGTTGTGAACAATTAGCCTGAAGTTCGAGACCTAGATCTCTAATTGATGGTGCAGACCGACAAATCATGTATGCAGTTTTAAAGTTGCGTATCCAGAGCGATTCGAACTCAGATCACTCAGTATTACAACGTAATAGGTTATCGCTAACATGTGGTGACACACGCACGTAGCTTGCTGCTATTATTAGTAATATGGAAAAGTCTTTCCAACAAGTACTTGGCAACAGTAAACGTTCAAACCAAATGTTTTGTTGCACCGAGTACAGATTTTTGAAGCTGCCTAATATACCTGTTTGCACTACAGTGCAGGGAAATAAGCAAAAAGGTAAAGTCAGAATGCAATTTGTAACATGAATTATTAAAATAATGATAACAAATAAATAACAAATGTTTATTCACTCGATAATGGGACAATGAACAAAAACTTTCATTCCTCCAATGTCCTGAATGTGGACTACTAACACCATACTGATCAATATTCAATAGACGGAGTACAGAAAGAAAAAAGAAAGCAAAACAGCAAATGAATCTGGAAATTGTTGAAAACACTATTCATTACTCTGTCATCATGAATTTGTGTGCATACAAGTGAAAACAAATGGAGGCTTCTAAAATTTTTACCTGTTTGTCAGTTGTAAAAAGGTTAAAAATATCCAGGATTTAGGACAAAGAATGTGGATATAAACAAAAGTATGTGCATGATGTTTCTTTCTATGTGTGTGAGTAAACGACATAAAAATGATCTAAAAATTAATGGTAGAATATTGAATATCGGAGGCACCACTTCGTGTTTGTGTAAACAGACAAATGAAAAGAGAGGGAACAACAGCCTATCCAGTAAAAGAATAGCACGATTCTCTGTTTTCACACAGTGCAACGGAAATAAAACAGTAAAAGGAAGTTTATCTCATGTATCACAGTAATAAAAATATAGCGTTTAATACACGTGCGAACTCATTACTTATGTCTGCAGCATTTATTTCGGCATACTATGAAATTTCTTACAAGTATATTTCTAAGCACAACGATGTTGACAGTCTGTCAACTGGAAAGAACATCACAACAGCAAAGAGGAGAATGTGTATAGACTAACGTGACAGTTACATATACATAAACATTATAAAGCAGATTGCTGAAGCTGCTTTACAGAGAAAATGCATTTACCACCTAACGGAAAGATAATCGAGAACAACTATATTGGTATTTCATTATGCCGACCAAAACGCCCCTTATCAAGTCCCCAATAAATGATACTACCTCATAGGAAAGCGAATCATAGCATGCAGCACTTTGTATTTGAAGGTAAGCATAACTGTGAGGCATAAGGACAATTCGACTACTGAAATCGATCCCTGTACATATAATCCAGAGTATCGACACGCACACACACACACACCTTATGCACCCCAAACCAAGAAGTCTGCGCGTTTTAGAACAGCTACCTCAACTATCTTTTTCCTCGTTTCCAAACTATACTGGATAATAATGACACAACTGACGTGTTCTAGGTAGGACAGTACGAACGATTCACAGTAGAAAGTAACTACAGACAGATGATAAATGCAGCTGTGTGAAATTAATACTACAACAGATTAAAAAGTCCGATAACAACCAATTTACTTCGTACTTTATGATTGTCCCTGTTAGCGTTTTTTCTCTCAGAAAACACTGAACAGGATTATCTGATAGAATAATGTTTTTAAAATAGCTACTGTTTCTAAACTTCTGATATGTACATTCTACGTCTTCAATAATAATAATAACATAAATGTATCTCAGCAACAAATGGCAAGGCAACTGTGAGCAAGTTAGGTAAGAAAAATACATGTCCAAAGAATACACATTTAGGTGTAGGAGTGCAGGGCGGGAGACTAGTAATAATTTTATTCTACATTTTGTAAAGAATACATTGAAATAAAAACCTGTTTGATTTTAGGTCTATGTTACATGATAATATAGATAACACGTAGGACAGAAAATGTGAAAGGAGACATACAGATAGAGACAGAGAGAAAGAGGAGAATTAGTGTGAATGATGTTTCTGTTTAGTGACGTAATATAACTGACAAGATAGAATAACAAATATATGCGCACAACATAGTGGAAGCAGTTGAAGATAAAGGAATAAATAAGTAGTGAATAAACAAAACAAGATTATATGTAAATCTCAAAGTGAAAGGTGTATAGGAACACTGATATTACCATAATGACTACTGACAATGTGAAAAGATAATTTTTGAGAGTCAGAAGGAACACGTATACCATTATTTCGCGACTAATTTATTTCTATAACTCATGTTAGACACCCACACCATCCATCTTTAATGTCTTTTCCACATTAATACTACACTAAACTTATTAATAATTGAATAGTCTGTAGAATAAAGTGAGAAGGCAAAACAAAAATTGTTACACAGTAGTCGGGGATAGTAAGTAGACAGTTAAGACCTTCTACCTACCTATAAAGTCACGTCACGTTAACCACTAGTGAACTTATTAATAATTAAACAGTGTGGATAAACCTGGTACAGTGATACATCATAAAGCAAAAAAAATTTACACAGCAATCAGATTCAAAAGAGTAACCATGTTCGGTAAGTAAGCAACTAGGATGGAATTAACATATTCGGATAAGGATTTATTTATGTAAATCGATTCTCAGATATGGATTCAGACAGTAGAAAAGATTATAAATAATAATACAAGTAGTATTCGGTTGATACATAGGAAGTGAAACCGCCTCAGTTACATGGGGGTTACTGCTGCTCCAGAGTTTCATTTCAGTGTTTGATACTTATACTACCCAAAATACCAGACACTTTCAGGTAAACCGGCCCTTTCCGTGGTTATTGTACAATTATTTCTCTTTTTCCGTTGAATACTGAGACTGGTTAAACATGATCAGATGTATCAGTTACACCTGCCACCTTCAACTTTATAGTCAATGTTACCAATATCCATGGTCCATCCACCTAACAATATGTCTCACATTCGTTGATTCGATCCAGGTTTCTGTGTTGCAATTACTGTCTTAAAAATAATTTCATTTTAATAATATGCTTCAGAATTCAGCTAGACCTTTGAGAGTGACCAATGATTAATTCTTTAAAACTCCATTGCCCTCCAGCAGTTTTATTAAGCAATATCCTGTGTTTCCGTAATTATTTTTGTCTTATACAGTTGGTGATTACTGTTGAAATGACTGATTTCCGTTCTCAGAAACCTCTGACTATGAAAATTTCAGCGACAATACTTGAATAGCACCTGTCAGTCTATAGTACAGCATAAGTTAGGTGTAATGATGTGAAGACAGTAGAGTCAATTAGACACTGTGGCAACAGGTTGACAAAAGCTTGCCCATATCATCCCTGCAGTGTTTGTCATGAAAACGGTGAATATTGTTATTGACAGGGCAATTAGGTAGGGAACAGATTTTTGTGAATAACTGTGGTTAATAATCTATGTGCAAAAACGTGAATCTAACCTAGTTAGTAAACCAACCTACACAAAGAAAGTGGGTGTGTTATGACTCATACCGTATTGTTACTATAGTAAATGCTTATCAACTTACATCTACCTCTAAGTGCATGTGTGTGTTCACTAAACTAGTGTCTACTAGAGATAATGAATGAAAGAATATCTATTGTTATATTTTTATGAGTCATATATACTCCTCCTCTCTTCCCCCTTAGAGTCAGTTGAGGGAGAAAATAAACAGTAAAACACAGAGAAATGGTGAGGTGGTATGCGACTAAGTTACCTTTGTCCATCAAGGATTAGAAGGAAAATCAATTAAGTGGATACTCTTGTGAGTCATCAATATAGAGATAACATAATCGAAGAGATCTAAATAAGGCAGGAGGCGGCATTTTTCAATCTGTATGTACTATTCATCTATTAGAGTTAAACCGTAGATAAACACGATACAGAAAAAAGTGTAATAAATATCTGAGTACAGTTTAGATTAGGACATCACATTATTACGCGGTATACACATGGAAAGCGCTTTAATTTACTTCCTAACACAATTGACAAACAAACTAACGGAATCTATGCACACCATAGACAAAAAGTAGATCAGCTCATGTTGCCACAGTTCAAAACTTTACACTGAGAAACACATGAAAGACAGACATGAAAGTGAAGAAAAGAATAATTCAAAGAAGGTTGATAAACACATTCTAAGTTCCCAAGATAAAAGGGTGGATTTAATTACACCACTATGAACCTACAAATTTCTTGCCATAGCTATCCTCCAGACTCCAACTTCAGCAAACATCGTTCTACTCATAAGCCGATGGATGGCCTAACATATCCCGGAAGCCTTAATCGACGAAGCTATACTAATTGAATGAAATAATATTTACCCTGCTTGCCTAACACTTCGGGCTAAATTCCAGCATAACTTTCCACATTGTCTTATCCTGAGTGAGGAAATGAATGAAGGGATTTATAGTCGAAAACTCATCTTTTCTGTGTCTCAAGACAGTACAAATTACTGAGTTGTAGAAGTGTTCAGCTCAATACATTCCA